TTTAGTAGAGACGGGGTTTCACCATGTTGACCAGGATGGTCTCGATCTCTTGACCTCGTGATCCACCCGCCTCGGCCTCCCAAAGTGCTGGGATTACAGGCGTGAGCCACCGCGCCCGGCCACTTAATTTTTCATTTTGTTTCATTATCAGTAATTTCTATTACTTATAACAATTAATGGTACTCATTCAAATTTAATCTTTTAGAAATTAGGAACATTTTTGGTACATGTTAGTTGAGGGCTGCTGTTTGGATGAGGATCATATGTGAACGAATCCCTTCAAAAAAGTGTTATTTCTGGCCTGGGCTAAGTGGCTCACACCTGTAATCCCAGTACTTTGGGAGGCTGAGGTGGGAGGATTGCTTGAGGCCAGGAGTTCAAGAGCAGCCTGGGCAGCACAGTATGACCCTATCTCTACAAAAAATTTTTATTTAATTAGCAGGGGCTATGTATGGTGGTTTATGTCTATTATACCAGCACGCTGGGGTGCTGAGGCAGGCAATCACTTGAAGCTAGGAATTTGAGGCCAGCCTAGGCAACATAGTGAGAATATTAATGAGACATGAAAAATGAAAATATTAGTGGGGCATGATGGTGCATGCTTGTTCCTGGGAGGCTGAGGTGGGAGGATTGCTTGAGCCCAGAAGATGGAAGCTGCAGTGAGTTGTGATAATGCCACTGCAGTCTAGCCTGGCAACAGAGTGAGACTGTCTAAAAACAAAGCAAAAGCCCATGTTGTGGCTCACACCTGTAATTCCAGCACTTTGAAAGGAGGCCAAGGTGGGCGGATCACCTGAGGTCAAGAGTTCGAAACCAGCCTGGCGAACATGGTGAAACCCCATCTCTACCAAAAATAAAACAAATTAGCTTGGCGTGGTGGTGGGTGCCTGTAATCCCAGTTACTGGGGAGGTTGAGGCAGGAGAATTGCTTGCACCCAGGAGTTGGGGGTTGCAGTGAGCTTATATCTCGAGACTGCCCTACTGCAGCCTGGAGTGGCCCCTGCCCTACAGAGCGAGACTCCAACTCAAAACAAAACGAAACAAATTAAAAAGTGTTATTTTTCTAGTAAAGTTTTGCATAAGATTGAGATGTTCATTAAGCAGAGTGCCAACATATGCTTATCTGCCTTTAGATATGTGTGCTTTTTTTTTTTTTTAAATTCGAGACAGAGTTTTTGCTCTGTCATCCAGGTTGGAGTGCAATAGGGCAATCACATCTCATTGCAGCCTCAGCCTCTTGGGTTCAAGTGCTCCTCCCATGTCAGCTCCCCAAGAAGATGGCACTGCAGGTGCATGCCACCATGTCTGGCTAATTTTTTTTTTTTTTTTTTTTTGGTAGAGATGGGGTTTTGCCATGTTGCCCAGGCTGATCTTGAACTCTTCAGCTCCAGCAATCTGCCTGCTTTGGCCTCCCAAAGTGGTGGGATTACATACATGAGCCACTGCACCTGGCCTGATTTCTATACTTGTTATTAATGGCTGGTTTTTAAAAATTATTCTTCAGGTT